AAGATGGTGTGTGATCATGTGATGGAAGTGACAGACGATTGGCCGCAGGAAGACAATAAAGAGCTCTCGTACAAGAGAACTGTTTGTTTGTTTGTTTGTTTATTTCAACCTGCTGCATCAAAACAACAATAACAGGAAGTCTGATAAGGTGGTGAAGCAGCGTGGGATCATGGGAGTTGTTGTCTTCACCACCATTGCCTTTCTCTCTAACAGCCAGCAGGGGGCAGCTCCACTCTGATAGTATGGAGTCTTATGGAGATCAATGAGCTCAGTAAACAGTTTCCTGATGAGTTTCTGGTCTCAGTCTCTAGTTTCAGTCTTCTTCCATACAGCATGATGTTCATTTAGTAACTGATGGTCCCATTTAGAGTAAAACAGACCATAAAGCAGGGTATGCTTTAGGGCGGGGCTACCTTGTGATTGACAGCTCATTCTCAGTGAGTCCGTCCAGCTCAACCAAACTCAGATCAAACTGTCAAACAGTGCTGATCAGATATGGATCCAGATTCTGTTCACAAACACATTTTACTGTTTATCTGGAGAACCAGATCCTGTGTGAGCAGACGAGCAGCCAATGAGAGCAGAGCAACTCGCTTTACGTGACCTCCGCTGGCTGCTAAACACCAACATGGAGACGACCATAAAGCCCAACTGGAGGTTCAGAGCTCCACAGACCGAAGGGGGACCACAGAGTCCCTTTATAACAATTCAATATATAAAGTAAATATAGGAAATAAATATGAAAAGATTTGTAATAATACAGTAATTATTGAAACTATCAGGAATAAACTAATTGATGTTTAAATGATGAAGCTGAACAGAATGAAACTCAGTGACGACTCAGAGCAGCAGCTGGTGTTTTATTACCAAAAAACAAAATGGCAGTCGGTTTAAAAACAGCAGTTCACACTCACACACACACACACCTGAACACACACACCTGAACACACACACACAAACCTGAACACACACACACCTGAACACACACACACACACCTGAACACACCTGCTGGTGCAGAAACTGTGGGAGCCATTAGATGTGTTCAGTCTGACGCACACAGCCTTTAATTCTGACGCTCTTTAGATCGAACTGAGATCGATCCGATCAATTCTCCAGGAGTTCCTTAAAATACAACGTGTGCAAAAACAACCACTAAATTCAAAATGGCTGACTTCCTGTAGGCTCCTTTTTGTTTGTCTGGTATCGATGAGAGCAGTCATTAAATGTAGATTCTGATCTTTAATAGCAAATAATAAAATCCTACAGCCAGCAGCATTGTGATTAATAATAAATACATTAACAGTTATTGACGAGATACAGCCACCTTACTGACTCCTTACTGACTCCTTACTGACTCCTCTGTCTCTGTTTGTGTCCAATGTGACTGTAAACTAATGTTTGAGTTCATTAATCAACCTTTTACTACGAGACCACAGAAGAAGAAACCAGGAGGGTTTATCTCCACTTCCTGTTACTTTCTGCTGTTTACAAGGTTCATTATTAGAAGGTAGGTCAGCTCAGTTTATGGGAATTAAGGTTCAAATCCCCTCTGCTCCACACTGTCACACCAAACTCCATTCAAAAAATGGCTGTTTTAAGGAAGTAAAACCTTTTCATTGTCTCTGCAGCTCTAACGAACGTTGGCGCTGAATGTTTGTTCCTGTAGCAGCTGCTGATTGGCTCAGTGTGACACAACGCTGACGTCACTGCTTTATGTAAGATCTGATTGGCTGACAGAGCACACACACACACACACACACACACACATACAGAAGGCACTCTGTCACTCAAACACACATTCTTCATTAAACGTCGTCCACTGCAGAGAAACTGATCCACAAACAGCAAAAATAGATTTATATCAGTTATATACAGCTACACACATTATACCACTGATCCCACACACACACAGTTCACAGACTGTAGCAGTAAAAAGACAGACAGACAGACAGACAGACAGCGCCTCCTGTCTGTCACCTGAGGTCCAACAGGCTGATCTTTGAGTCCCTCACCAACACGTGTTTACACACCTGAGAGAGAGACAGAGAGACAGAGAGACAGAGAGAGAGACAGACAGAGACAGAGACGGAGAGAAAGAGAGACTGTTAGCCTAGCTAAATCCAATCAGAAAAAACAAAGTATAATGTCAGTCTGATAACATCCATCTCTCTATAAAAGCAAGAAATCTCTGTCTGTCTGTCTGTGTGTCTGTCTGTCTGTCTGTGTGTGTGTGTGTGCCTCAAATATCTCTGTAGATCAGGATCAGACTGACCTGAGAGTTTCAACATGGCTGCTGTGTGGTTTAAGGGTGTGCAACGTCAATCACCGCAGAGCCCACCCCCACGACACACCTTAAAAAAACACGCTGATCTATACCTGCAGTGGCGCGAGCGGCTTTATACCTGCAGCGGATTTTGCCGGCTGTTCGGTCCCTTTCTGTGCATCTAAACTGACTGTTGTGGATTACTGACACTGAACGAGTCCGGACCGAGTCTGTTCCGGTCTGAGGAGACCCGGATACGCGAGGACAACAAACTGGAATCGGAATCTGTAGATGTTCGTCTGTAGCTAGCTGCTACACCTTCAAACACAGCCTCATTTGGCCATCCATGAAAAAGCTACTTAACCTCCCACTTTTCTATAGCATATATATCTCCTCCTGGTGGCTGACTGCAGTATAGACTATATTTTAGGTCTTATCAGTTTGGTTTTAATTAGTTATGTGAAGATATAAAAAGTCATGATTGACAGCTAGGGATGAGTTGGCGTATGGGCAGGACCTCAATATCTACTGCACAGACTCAGAGTGGAGGAAGATGGCAACCACTGTATCTGGATATCTTTATGTGTAGGTGATGGACGGCGAGCTCTGATTGGTCAGGGTAGTTTGTGACGTCAGAGAGGTTAACAGAGAGTTTCTCACGCTGAAGAGAGGAGGCTCTTTGGAGTGAGGATGGAAACCTTTCAGTCTGCAGCCAGAAACCTCCGACATCCCTGGACCGGTCAACCTGAACACACCAGTGCTGACAGAGAGATATCTGTTAATCTATCAGTGATCAATCAGTGATCAGTCAGTGATCAATCAGTGATCAATCAGTGATCAGTCAGTGATCAATCAGTGGTCAATCAGTGATCAATCAGTGACCAGTCAGTGATCAGTCAGTGATCAATCAGTGACCAGTCAGTGATCAGTCAGTGATCAATCAGTGACCAGTCAGTGATCAGTCAGTGATCAATCAGTGACCAGTCAGTGATCAATCAGTGATCAATCAGTGAACTATCAGTGATCAATCAGTGAACTATCAGTGATCAATCAAGTTAGATTAATTCAGGAATATAATTGTTGCTGAAAGGCATTGTGGGAACTGTAGTGTACAGTGTGTGTGTTGGACCTACTCGTTGTGTTTGGGAGCGCAGACGATGGCGATGGCCTCCGGCAGCATCAGCTGATAGGAGCAGTGAGTGTGGAGGTCGACACTGGAGAGGAAGGCCGTCTGAGTGGGATGAGTCTGAGCACAGAGAGGTCAAAGGTCAAAGGTCAGAGACTGATTCAGGACCACCGAGGATAGAGGGTGGTCCTGTAGAGAGGAACTGGTTTTCAGTGGACAGGAGGAGTGAGACCTCTTCCTCTCTCTCTCCCCTCTCATCTGTTGCACACAGGCACTGTTGCCATGGAGATATCTGATCATGCAAATGAAGGAGAAGAAAAAGTACAACGAAGGTCATTTTTCTGTGTGTGTTATCATATTGTGAAGACTCACACTTGATTGCCCACTCACACTGTGGGGACCGCACAGGTTTATCTATCTATAAGATAGATAGATAGATAGATAGATAGATAGATAGATAGATAGATAGATAGATAGATAGATACACACACACACACACACACACTGAACAAAATTATAAACACAACTTTTGTTTTTGCCCCCATTCATCATGAGCTGAACTCAAAGATCTAAGATTTTCTCTATGTACACAAAAGGCCTATTTCTCTCAAATATTGTTCACAAATCAAAATCTGTGTTAGTGAGCACTTCTCCTTTGCCGAGATAATCCATCCACCTCACAGGTGTGGCATATCAAGATGCTGATCAGACAGCATGGGTATTGCACAGGTGTGCCTTAGGCTGGTCATAATAAAAGGCCACTCGAAAATGTGCAGTTTCTCTGTATTGGGGGGGGGGGGTCCGGAAACCAGTATAGTATCTGGTGCAACCACCATTTGCCTCATGCAGTGCAACACATCTCCTTCGCATAGAGTTGATCAGGTTGTTGATTGTGGCCTGTGCAATATTGGTCAACTCCTCTTCAATGGCTGTGCGAAGTTGCTGGATATTGGCAGGACCTGGAACACGCTGTCGTATACGCCGATCCAGAGCATCCCAAACATGCTCAATGGGTGACATGTCCAGTGAGTAAGTATGCTGGCCATGCAAGAACTGGGATGTTTTCAGCTTCCAGGAATTGTCTACAGATCCTTGCAACATGGGGCCGTGCATTATCATGCTGCAACATGAGGTGATGGTCGTGGATGAATGGCACAACAATGGGCCTCAGGATCTCGTCACGGTATCTCTGTGCATTCAAAATGCCATCAATAAAATGCACCTGTGTTCGTTGTCAATAACACACGCCTGCCCATACCATAACCCCACCGCCACCTACCCATACCATAACCCCACCGCCACCATTGGCCACTCGATCCACAACGTTGACATCAGCAAACCGCTCACCCACACGACGCCATACACACTGTCTGCCAAACCAATTGTTGCTGCAGCTGTCCGGGTGGCTGGTCTCAGACGATCTTGGAGGTGAAGATGCTGGATGTGGAGGTCCTGGACTGGTGTGGTTAGACGTGGTCTGCGGTTGTGAGGCCGGTTGGATGTACTGCCACATTCATCTGTGGCATTGTGCTGTTTGATGGAACTGCACATTTTCGAGTGGCCTTTTACTGTGGCCAGCCTAAGGCACACCTGTGCAATACCCATGCTGTCTGATCAGCATCTTGATATGCCACACCTGTGAGGTGGATGGATTATCTCGGCAAAGGAGAAGTGCTCACTAACACAGATTTTGATTTGTGAACAATGATTGAGAGAAATAGGCCTTTTGTGTACATAGAGAAAGTCTTAGATCTTTGAGTTCAGCTCATGATGAATTGGGGCAAAGTGTTGTGTTTATAATTTTGTTCTGTGTATATATATATACAGTTTAACTGTGTATCTCCAAAATCACAAAGAAATCTGTCTCTGAGACGTGTTTAATGTTTGTTTAGGTTGTTTGTTAGCTGATACGCCCCCTTTCCTCTCACTGTACAGGCTATAAACATATTCAGATTTAGGCTGTGTGTTTAGCGTGTATTAGCTGGTGTGTTTTTCGTGTAGTCGTACATGGATCCAGCCCAATGTCAGCAGGTTCTGTTGGTCCTGGAAACTGAACAGTTCCTCCACGTTCTCCATGTCACAGAAATCTGGACCAGCCGACTGTTTGGGGATCACGACGTGAGTCAGCAGGAACTCGTTGTGCGTCTGAGGGTGAGAGACATTGACACAGACAGCAGAGGGGAGGAGAGACACTGAGAACTCGGTCAGCTGTGAGTACTACAACAGAAGTACTGCCTCACTGGTCCCAGTCTCACCAGGCGTCCACAGAGGACTCCGCAGGTCTCGATCCCTCTCGCCGTGTTGGAGTCAGCCAGCAGGAGGAACCGATATGTCAGATCTCTGGGAATCACCACCCGCCTCAGACCCTCCACCCTCTGAGCTGCACACACAAAATAAACACTAACACACAGGACAGGTACTGCCAGGTACACACATTCAGTACACACTGAGTCTACACTGAGTACAATCAGTCAGTACACACTGAGTACACACAGTCAGTACACACTGAGTACACACTGTCAGTACACACTGAGTACAATCAGTCAGTACACACTGAGTACACACAGTCAGTACAATCAGTCAGTACACACAGTGACTACACACTGAGTACACACAGTCAGTACACACTGAGTACACACAGTCAGTACAATCAGTCAGTACACACAGTGACTACACACTGAGTACACACTGTCAGTACACACCGAGTACACACATTCAGTACACACTGAGTACACACTGAGTACAATCAGTCAGTACACACTGAGTACACACAGTCAGTACAATCAGTCAGTACACACAGTGACTACACACTGAGTACACACGGTCAGTACACACTGAGTACACACAGTCAGTACACACTGAGTACACACTGAGTACACACCGAGTACACACAGAGTACACACAGTCAGTACACACTGAGTACACACTGAGTACACACCGAGTACACACAGAGTACACACAGTCAGTACACACAGAGTACACACAGTCAGTACACACTGAGTACACACAGTCAGTACACACTGTGTACACACAGTCAGTACACACTGTGTACACACAGTCAGTACACACTGAGTACACACTGAGTACACACCGAGTACACACAGTCAGTACACACTGAGTACACACTGAGTACAATCAGTCAATACACACTGAGTACACACAGTCAGTACAATCAGTCAGTACACACAGTGACTACACACTGAGTACACACAGTCAGTACACACTGAGTACACACTGAGTACACACTGTCAGTACACACTGAGCACACACAGTGAGTACTCACTGTGTACTCCTGCCAGTGTGGCAGCTGGTTGGCTGACGGGAGCTGGCGGTCTGTTCCTGTTAGGATCCGCCCCTTGGGAGCGTAGACTGTCTCTGATTGGCTGCTGAGACAGACAGGAGCCGTCCGTCACCTCAGGCACTTTGGTCCCCTGAAGGAGAAACACGTTACTACAAAAACTACTGCAATACTGGTGATACTACACAGTACTGTTACTAATACTACTACTAATACTGATATTATTACTACAACTGTACTAGTAATAATATCAGTATTATTAGTATTAGTATTATTAGTATTATTATTAGTATTAGTATTATTATTAGCAGTATTCTTATTATTAGTATTACTAGTATTATTATTAATATTATTATTAGTATTAGTAGTATTTATATTAGTATTATTATTAGTAGTAGTAGTAATTAGCCAACTATAGACCGATTTCTAACCTCCCGTTCCTCTCTAAGATTCTGGAGAAAGTAGTCGCCAAAGAGTTGTGTGACTTTCTACATAACAATAGTTTATTTGAGGATTTTCAGTCAGGATTTAGAGTTCATCATAGCACAGAGACAGCTCTGGTTAAAGTTAATAATGACCTTCTGACTGCTTCTGACAATGGACTTGTCTCTGTACTTGTATTATTAGATCTTAGTGCTGCATTTGACACCATTGACCATGATATTCTTTTACAGAGACTTGAGCATCAAATTGGCATTAAAGGAACTGCCCTAACCTGGTTTAAGTCATACTTATCAGATCGTTCTCAGTTTGTACATGTTAACGATGAATCCTCCATAAATACTAAAGTTAGTCATGGAGTTCCACAAGGTTCTGTACTTGGACCAATACTATTTACTTTATATATGCTCCCTTTAGGCAACATTATTAGGAATCACTCCATTAACTTTCACTGTTATGCAGATGATACGCAGTTATATCTATCAATCAAACCCAATGAAATTAATCAATTATCTAAATTACAAACATGTCTTAAGGACATAAAATCCTGGATGACCTGCAATTTTCTGATGTTAAACTCAGAAAAAACCGAAATTCTTGTTCTTGGCCCCAAAAACCTTAGAGACTCATTGTCTAAAGATATAGTCACTCTAGATGGCATTAACTTGGCCTCTAGCACCACTGTCAGGAATCTTGGAGTTATCTTTGATCAGGATTTGTCATTTAACTCCCACATAAAGCAGACCTCTAGGACTGCCTTCTTTCATTTACGTAATATTAGAAAAATTAGACACATCCTATCACAGACAGATGCAGAAAAACTAATCCATGCATTTGTTACTTCAAGGCTGGATTACTGCAACTCTTTATTATCAGGTTGCCCCAATAAGTCCATTAAAACGCTCCAATTAATTCAGAACGCTGCAGCACGAGTACTGACAGGAACTAGAAAAAGAGATCACATCTCTCCTGTACTAGCTACTCTGCATTGGCTCCCTATAAAATGTAGAATTGAATTTAAAATACTCCTCCTCACCTATAAAGCTCTTCATGGTCAGGCCCCTTCATATCTTAAAGAGCTCATAGTACCCTATTACCCCACTAGAACACTACGTTCTCTGAATGCTGGGCTACTTGTGGTTCCTATAGTCTCTAAAAGTAGAACAGGAGCCAGAGCCTTCAGTTACCAAGCTCCTCTCCTGTGGAACCAGCTTCCAGTTGTGGTTTTGGAGGCAGACACCCTCACCACATTCAAGAGTAGGCTTAAGACATTCCTCTTTGATAAAGCTTATAGTTAGGGCTGGATCAGGTGAGTCCTGAACCATCCCTTAGTTATGCTGCTATAGGCCTAGACTATCGGGGGATTTCCCATGGTGCACTGAGCTACTCTCTTCCTCTCTCTTTCTGCACTCATTCATGTCCCTTTAATGCATGTTACTAACTCCACTTCTTCCCCGGAGTTCTTGTGCTTTCTCGTCTCGCAGGTTCTCATGGATCCTGGTGGAGCCTCCTGCCATGGTCCTGCTTGACTGCCATTGCCAATACTGTTGTTGCTGTGCACCTGTCTGTCTGTCTGTCGCTCTCTCTCTCTCTCTCTCTCTCTCTCTCTCTCTCTCTCTCTCTCACCCCAACTGGTCGAGACAGACGACCACCCACCTAGAGCCGGAGGATCTGTCCTAGGTTTCTGCCTTTTAACAGGCAGTTTTTCCTTGCCCTTGTCGCCAAGTGCTTGCTCATGGTGGTACTGTTGGGTCTCTGTAATTAATGTTAAAGAGTTCGGTCTAGACCTGCTCTATTTGAAAAGTGTCCTGAGATAACTTCTGTTATGAATTGGCGCTATACAAATAAAATTGAATTGAATTGAATTGAATAGTAGTATTATTAGTAGTATTAGTGTTATTATAAGTATTATTATTATTATTATTATTATTAGTAGTAGTAGTAGTAGTATTATAAGTATGATTATTAGTATTACTACTATTAATATTATTATTATTATTATTTATTATTATTATTATTATTATTAGTAGTAGTAGTAGTAGTAGTATTAGTATTATTAGTAGTATTAGTATTATTATTACTGTTAGTATTAGTAGTAGTAGTAGTAGTAGTATTAGTATTATTATTACAGTTAGTATTAGTAGTAGTAGTACAGTGTAGCCTAATCTCACCTTTGGCTCCGCCTCCTCTCCTCTCCTATTGGCCAATTCCTGGCGCCTCAGCTGGTCCTCGAAGTAGCGGAACTGTTCAGATTCGATCTGCATTCGTCGCAGTGCGGCGACCCGCTGCCGCTCCTCCTCTAGCAGCAGGAAGCGCCTCCTGTCCTCATCCAATAGGGAGAGCCGCTGCAGCTGCTGGCCACACCCATCCGCTACCACCGCCTGGCTCTGAGGAAACAGGAAGTCACATGATCACGGCTGCAGCCACTTACAGATACAGTGCATACAGAAAGTATTCACAGCGCTTCACTTTTTCCACATGTTGTTATGTTACAGCCTTATTCCAAAATGGATTCAATTAATTTGTTTCCTCAAAATTCTACACATAATACCCCATAATGACAACTTAAAAAAAGTTTGTTTTCGATTTTTGCAAATTTATTAAAAATAAAAAAAGAAGAAATCAGTTGTACATAAGTATTCACAGCCTTTGTGATCAAGCTCAAAACTGAGCTCAGGTGCATTCTGTTTCCACTGGTCATCCTTGAGATGTTTCTGCAGCTTAATTGAAAATAAATTCAGTTGATTGGACAGGATTTGGAAAGGCACACACCTGTCTATATAAGGTCCCACAGTTAACAGTGCATGTCAGACCACAAAACAAGCATGAAGTCGAAGGAATTGTCTCGAGGCACAGATCTGGGGAAGGGTACAGAAAACTTTCTGCTGCTTTAAAGGTCTCAATGAGCACAGTGGCCTCCATCATCCGTAAATGGAAGAAGTTTGGAACCACAATGAAAGGCAGCAATGTACAGAGACATCCTGGAAGAAAACCTGCTCAAGAGCGCTCTTGACCTCAGACTGGGGCGACGGTTCATCTTTCAACAGGACAACGACCCTAAGCACACAGCCAAGATATCAAAGGAGTGGCTTCAGGACAACTCTGTGAATGTCCTAGAGTGGCCCAGCCAGAGCCCAGACTTGAATCCCATTGAACATCTCTGGAGGGATCTGAAAATGGCTGCGCACTGATGCTCCCCATCCAACCTGATGGAACTCGAGAGGTTCTGTAAAGAGGAATGGGCGAAACTAGCCAAAGATAGGTGTACCAAGACATGTCCCCTGCACTTATATCAAAAGGCTGTTTTGGTCCCCTACAGTTTTTACCGTCCAAAAACAATGTTCCGCTATAGTAAACAGAGACACGTCAAGCAGTAGGACCAAGCCTGTTTCTCTTAGTTTAGACCCGCCCACAAGCTCCTCGATTGGCTCTGCTGTTTCTTGTGTGATTGGCCGTCCCCGCTGTCACTCCATCTTGCTTGCACACCGGTCTGCTAGGTGACTTAGACTTCTCTTTATTGATCCCTTTGGGATGACTCCCTCAAGGACATTGGATTTCCAGCAGCTTACAAAACACTTATATGAAAAATAAAATAGTTATAAAAAAAATACAGTAGGTGCACAGGAGTCCTTAATTAATCTGCCACTGTAAGTTGGGCGTTTGTTCTGCCTGGGTCACGTCAGCAAGACGGATTGTAATATCAGAGGTTACATTTACATTAACATTTGAATCGGTGTCCATGTGCGTTTGTGCATGCGCGCGTGCGTGCGTGTGTGCGTGCGTGCGTGTGTGTGTGTTTGGTAATTAGGTGCAGTTGGAGTTGGAGTGAAGTTGACCAACAAGGTGAAACACAGAATTGGGTGATAATGTCCCCTCTCTGAAATCAAAATTTCCTTGCATATACCCATAATGCACCAGGACCTCTGAACACAGCACTCAACAGGAGGCCACAGAGAACACTCAATCACAATCACACATCAATAGAATAATCAATATTCAATGATACCGCTGATTTAGAGAACACAGAAATAAACCTGTCAATCAATCACACGCTGCACTCTGATTGGACAGCACAAACACACCTGAGCTCTGAGGTACTCGCTGTGTTCCCTGCTGTATTTCTCCTGTAGACGTTTCTTCAGCTCGTCTTTACGAGGAAACGCCACTTCCTGAAGTTTCTGTGGAGTCACAGTACAAGTATCAGTATGAGTACTAGTAGTCTCAGTATGAGTACTAGTAGTATTAATACAAGTACTAGTAGTATTATTAGTAGTACACAACATGAAGTAGAAGCAGTAGATATTTGTACACATTGAGAACCACCAGTAGAAGTTCATTACATTCATTGAGCAGATGTTGAGTCACAATATAATTAGTCTTATTTTGAATTTCCTGTTCAGTACGGACAGTTTAAGGTCCAGACACCCAACTATGAGCCTATCGTGACGTCACCATCAGCTTGTGGAGAACTGCTTTGAAGCCTCGAGTTTGGCATTTGGCCGTCGCCATGACAGTAAAACGGAGCCAGCAGAGGTCACGTAAAGCGAGTTAAGCTGCTCTCATTGGCTGCTCTTGGTTTGGAAACAATGGCGGCTCTCCTACTAACACAGGATCTGGTATTCCAGTTAAACAGTAAAATGTGTTTGTGAAGAGATTTGAGGAGAGAAATAGTCAACAACAGAATCTGGATCCATATCTGATCAGCACTGTTTGACTGAGTTTGGTGGACGGGCTCACTGAGAATGAGCTGTCAATCACAAGGTAGCCCCGCCCTAAAGCATATCCTGCTTTATGGTCTGTTTTACTCTAAATGGGACCATCAGTTACTAAATGACCATCATGCTGTATGGAAGAAGACTGAAACTAGAGACTGAGACCAGAAACTCATCAGGAAACTGTTTACTGAGCTCATTCTCCATTAGAGTGAATGGGATCAGTTTATATTGCAGCCAGTGGAGCTCCCCCTGCTGGCTGTTACATAGAATGCAGCTTTAACACAGTGTAATTATATACACTGTCATTATATATACTGTCATTACATATACTGTCATTATATATACTGTACTGTCAATGGTCACACCGGATTCAATCCTAACCCTGCTGGTTGTCACACAGAATGCAGCTTTCATTATATATACTGTCATTATATATAATGACAGTGTATATAATGACTGTATATATAATGACAGTATATATAATGACTGTATATATGACAGCATATATAATGACAGTATATATGAAGACAGTGTATATAATGACTGTATATATAATGACAGTATATATAATGACTGTATATATAATGACAATGTATATATAATGACTGTATATATGACAGTATATATAATGACAGTATATATGAAGACAGTGTATATAATGACTGTATATATAATGACAGTATATATAATGACAATGTATATAATGACAGTATATATACTGACATCATATTTAATGAGTGTATATAATGACTGTATATATACTGACATTATATTTAATGAGTGTATATAATGACAGTATATATAATGACAGTATATATATAAACACAGTATATATAATGACTGTATATATAAAGACAGTGTATATAATGACAGTATATATACTGACATTATATTTAATGACAGTGTATATGATGACAGTATATATAAAGACAGTGTATATAATGACTGTATATATAATTACAGTATATATACTGACATTATATTTAATGACAGTGTATATGATGACAGTATATATAAAGACAGTGTATATAATGACAATGTATATAAAGACAGTATATATAATGACAGTATGTTAATGACTGTATATATAATGACAGTATATATACTGACATTATATTTAATGACGGTGTATAAAATGACAGTATATATAAAAACAGTGTATATAATGACAGTATATAATGACAGTATATATAAAAACAGTGTATATAATGACAATGTATATAAATACAGTATATATAATGACAGTATGTTAATGACTGTCTATATAATGACTGTATATATAAAGACAGTGTATATAATGACAGTACATATGACAGTATATATAATGACAGTATATATAATGACAGTACATATAATGACAGTGTATGTAATGACTGTATGTATAATGACTGTATATAAAATGACAGTATATATAAAGACAGTGTATATAATGACAATACATATAATGACAGTGTATATAATGACAGTATATATAAAGACAGTGTATATAATGACAGTATATATAAAGACAGTGTATGTAATGACAGTACATATAATGACAGTGTATATAATGACAGTATATATAATGACAGTATATGTAATGACAGTATATATAATGAAAGTACATATAATGACAGTATATATAATGACAGTATATATAATGACAGTGTATATAATGACAGTACATATAATGACAGTACATATAATGACAGTATATATAATGACAGTACATATAATGACAGTACATATAAAGACAGTGTATGTAATGACAGTATACATAATGAAAGTACATATAATGACAGTATATATACTGACATTATATATAATGACAGTGTATGTAATGACAGTATATATAATGACAGTTTATATAATGACAGTGTATGTAATGACAGTATATATAATGACAGTGTATATAATGACAGTATATATAATGACAGTACATATAATGACAGTGTATATAATGACAGTATATATATAATGACAGTACATATAATGACAGTATATATAATGACAGTGTATGTAATGACAGTATACATAATGACAGTACATATAATGACATTATATATAATGACAGTGTATGTAATGACAGTATATATAATGACAGTTTATATAATGACAGTGTATGTAATGACAGTATACATAATGACAGTACATATAATGACAGTGTATATAATGACAGTATATATATAATGACAGTACATATAATGACAGTATATATAATGACAGTATATATAATGACAGTGTATGTAATGACAGTATACATAATGACAGTACATATAATGACAGTGTATATAATGACAGTATATATATAATGACAGTACATATAATGACAGTATATATAATGACAGAATATATAATGACAGTGTATGTAATGACAGTATATATAATGACAGTTTATATAATGACAGTGTATGTAATGACAGTATATATAATGACAGTTTATATAATGACAGTTTATATAATGACAGTGTATGTAATGACAGTGTATATAATGACTGTATATATAATGACAGTTTATATGACAGTGTATGTAATGACAGTGTATATAATGACTGTATATAATGTAACACGGTAAACAGTAACACGTTTACTTCCTCACAACAACCATAGTGTTAGCACGCTAATGTTAGCATTTAGCATTTAGCTGTGTGTACCTTCATGATGAGTTTTTTCTCTGGAACGCTGCACTGCTGATAGTCTCTGTGAGCGGGAAGCTTCTCTACAAACAGCCTGCACACACACACACACACACACACACACACACAGTAACACACACACACACACACACACACACAGTAACACACACACACACACACAGTAACACACACACACACACACACACACACACACACACACACACACACACACACACACACACAGTGAATGTTAGCATTATTTCCCATCAGAACATACGTCAGTAGAACGTCAGCAGTATGTCAGCAGAACGTCAGTAGAATGTCAGTAGAATGTCAGTAGAACTTCAGCAGAACGTCAGTAGAATGTCAGTAGAATGTCAGTAGAACGTCAGTAGAACTTCAGCAGAACATCAGTAGAACGTCAGTAGAATGTCAGCAGTACGTCAGCAGAATGTCAGTAGAATGTCAGCAGTACGTCAGCAGAATGTCAGTAGAATGTCAGTAGAATGTCAGCAGTACGTCAGCAGAATGTCAGTAGAACGTCAGTAGAATGTCAGCAGTACTTCAGCAGTACTTCAGCAGGACATCAGTAGAATGTCAGTAGAATGTCAGTAGAACTTCAGCAGAACGTCAGTAGAATGTCAGCAGTACTTCAGCAGTACTTCAGCAGGACATCAGTAGAATGTCAGTAGAATGTCAGTAGAACTTCAGCAGAACGTCAGTAGAATGTCAGTAGAACTTCAGCAGAACGTCAATAGAATGTCAGTAGAACGCCAGTAGAACTTCAGCAGAACGTCAGTAGAATGTCAGTAGAACGTCAGTAGAACTTCAGCAGAACGTCAGTAGAATGTCAGCAGTACTTCAGCAGTACTTCAGCAGGACTTCAGCAGAATGTCAGTAGAATGTCAGTAGAACTTCAGCAGAACGTCAGTAGAACGTCAGTAGAATGTCAGCAGTACGTCAGCAGAATGTCAGTAGAACGTCAGTAGAATGTCAGCAGTACTTCAGCAGTACTTCAGCAGGACGTCAGTAGAACGTCAGTAGAACTTCAGCAGAACGTCAGTAGAATGTCAGTAGAATGTCAGTAGAACTTCAGCAGAACGTCAATAGAATGTCAGTAGAACGCCAGTAGAACTTCAGCAGAACGTCAGTAGAATGTCAGTAGAACGTCAGTAGAACGTCACTAGAACTTCAGCAGAACGTCAGTAGAATGTCAGTAGAACGTCAGTAGAATGTCAGCAGTACGTCAGCAGAATGTCAGTAGAACGTCAGTAGAATGTCAGCAGTACTTCAGCAGGACATCAGTAGAACGTCAGTAGAACTTCAGCAGTACGTCAGCAGAATGTCAGTAGAATGTCAGCAGTACGTCAGCAGAATGTCAGTAGAATGTCAGCAGTACGTCAGCAGAATGTCAGTAGAATGTCAGTAGAATGTCAGCAGTACGTCAGCAGAATGTCAGTAGAACGTCAGTAGAATGTCAGCAGTACTTCAGCAGGACATCAGTAGAATGTCAGTAGAATGTCAGTAGAACTTCAGCAGAACGTCAGTAGAATGTCAGTAGAACTTCAGCAGAACGTCAATAGAATGTCAGTAGAACGCCAGTAGAACTTCAGCAGAACGTCAGTAGAATGTCAGTAGAACGTCAGTAGAACTTCAGCAGAACGTCAGTCGAATGTCAGTAGAACGTCAGTAGAATGTCAGCAGTACTTCAGCAGTACTTCAGCAGGACTTCAGCAGGACTTCAGCAGAATGTCAGTAGAATGTCAGTAGAACGTCAGTAGAATGTCAGCAGTACGTCAGCAGAATGTCAGTAGAACGTCAGTAGAATGTCAGCAGTACTTCAGCAGTACTTCAGCAGGACGTCAGTAGAACGTCAGTAGAACTTCAGCAGAACGTCAGTAGAATGTCAGTAGAATGTCAGTAGAACTTCAGCAGAACGTCAATAGAATGTCAGTAGAACGCCAGTAGAACTTCAGCAGAAAGTCAGTAGAATGTCAGTAGAACGTCAGTAGAACGTCACTAGAACTTCAGCAGAACGTCAGTAGAATGTCAGTAGAACGTCAGTAGAATGTCAGCAGTACGTCAGCAGAATGTCAGTAGAACGTCAGTAGAATGTCAGCAGTACTTCAGCAGGACGTCAGTAGAACGTCAGCAGAATGTCAGCAGTACTTCTGCAGGAAGTCAGCAGAATGTCAGCAGTACGTCAGCAGTACGTCAGCAGAACGTCAGCAGTACGTCAGTAGAACGTCACCAGAATGTCAGCAGTACTTCAGCAGAACGTCAGTAGAACGTCAGTAGAACGTCAGTAGAACGTCAGTAGAACGTCAGCAGTACGTCAGCAGAACGTCAGCAGAACGTCAGTAGAATGTCAGCAGTACGTCAGCAGAACATCAGCAGAACGTCAGTAGAATGTCAGTAGAACGTCAGTAGAATGTCAGTGCACAGGTGCTCACGTGATGAACTTGGTGTAGAGGACGTAGGCGTTCTCAAGGCTGCCCTCCTCCAGGTAAACTGCCGCCATGCGCTCCATCTCCACGCCGGAGCGGAAGTAGCGTCTGGGCGCGATGTCCTCGTTGATCTCCACGTTGCATCCCATCTTCCCCAGCGCCCGCACGCGCTCCGCCGCCGTCAGCGACACATCTGTGTAGTCTGGTTCTGCTGCCAGCTTCTTCTGCACACAGAGGACAACGTTTCCTTAGAGAGACACTGCGACCTGTTTACAGTTTACTGTTTACTATCACCTGTTAACTGTCACCTGTTTACTGTCACCTTTTTACTGTTACCTGTTTCCTGTTTCCTGTTTACTGTTTACAGTTTACCGTTTACTGTCACCTGTTTACTATTTACTTTTACCTGTTTACTGTTTACTGTTAACTGTCACCTGTTTACTTTTTACTTTTACCTGTTTACTGTTTACTGTCACCCGTTTACTGTTTACTGTTTACAGTCACCTGTTTACTGTTTAGTGTTTACTGTCACCTGTTTACTGTTTAGTGTTTACTGTTTACTGTCTACTGTCTACTGTCACCTGTTTACTATTACTGTTTACTGTTTACTGTCACCTGTTTACTATTACTGTTTACTGTTCACTGTCTACTGTTTACTGTCACCTGTTTACTGTCCCCTGTTTACTATTTACTGTCACCTGTTTACTATTACCTGTTTACTGTTTACTGTCACCTGTTAACTGTTTACTTTCACTTGTTTACTGTTACCTGTCTACTGTCACCTGTTTACTGTTTACTGTCACCTGTTTACTTTTTACTGTCACCTGTTCACTGTCATCTGTTTTCTGTCACCTGTTTACTTTTTACTGTCACCTGTTCACTGTCACCAGTTTACTATTACTGTTTACTGTCATCTGTTTACTATGACTGTCTACTGCGACCTGTTTACTGTTTACTGTTTAGTGCGACCTATTTAGTGCGACCTGTTTACTGTTACCTGTTTACTGTTTACTGTCACCTGTTTACTATTACTGTTTACTGTCACCTCTTTACTGTTTACTGTCCACTATAACTGTTTACTGTCACCTGTTTACTGTTTACTATTACTGTTTACTGTCACCTGTTTACTATAACTGTTTACTGTTTACTGTTTACTATTTACTGTCAACTGTTTACTATTACTGTTTACTGTCACCTGTTTACTGTTTACTGTCACCTGTTTACTGTTTACTATTACTGTTTACTGTCACCTGTTTACTGTTTACTATAACTGTTTACTATAACTGTTTACTGTTTACAGTTTACTATTACTGTTAACTGTCACCTGTTCACCGTCACCTGTTTATTGTTTACTGTTACCTGTTTACTATTACTGTTTACTGTCTACTGTTTACTGTCACCTGTTTACTGTCACCTGTTTACTGTCAACTGTTTACTATTACTGTTTACTGTCTACTGTTCACTGTCACCTGATTACTGTTAGCTGTTGACTGTTTACTGTCACCTGTTGACTGTTTACTGTCTACTGTTTACTGTCACCTGTTTATTGTTCACTGTTACCTGTTTACTGTCACCTGTTTATTCTCGGTACAGATGACTCTGAGAGGTCTGACCACTTTAAAGTCATCACAGTACTTGAGTAAAAGTACTTAGTTACTTTCCACCTCTGAAGGGAGGAAACTGAGATTTACGGTCCCCGCAGGGAACCTGAATGCAGCGTTTGTGAGGTTGCTGATCAGCTGTTGGAGGAGAAACGCTCCTCTGTTCACGGAGCGCTCGCTATTCAGGAGGAGACGCCAACAGAAACACAGACCGGCAGAGAATGAATAAAGACACAAGAGTGAAGCTAATAACTAATTAATTAATATTTATCAGTTTTATTGATTTATTTCACATTTATTTGTCCATTTTAAGGAAAGTGATAAAACTACCAAAATAAAGAGTCTGAATCTATCTATAAAGCAAGAAATCTCTGTCTGTCTGTCTGTCTGTCTGTCTGTGTGTGTGTGTGTGTGTGTGTGTGTGTGTGTGTGTGTGTGTGTGTGTGTGTGTGTGTGTGTCTCAAATATCTCTGCAGATCAGGATCAGACTGACCTGAGAGTTTCAACATGGCTGCTGTGTGGTTTAAGGGTGTGCAACGTCGGCTTTGTTTGGACTACAAAGATACCGTTAATAAATTATTTCATAAATTATTTCCGAATTCCGCTAGCATTGTCAACTACAGCCACCGTAGCCACGTGCGCACCAGAGCCAATCAGTGCAGAGCCCAAACATCCTGAAAAGTGAAAGTAAACTGATGTCTTGGTCCAGAGGGCTGGTGGTCGCGTGATTTTTTATTTTTGATCACAAACACTTCGTGAGTTTTTCGCCTGTGACAGACGCTGTTTTTTGGGCAGAAATGTGACGAAGAGTTGGTAGGACAGACAGGAGGACAGACAGGAGGACAGACGCTTCTCCACATACAGCTGTGGTATTTTTTTTCCTCATGTAAGTTTCCAAAGACAGTTACAGTTACTACGTTACTGTTGTTTGGTCCTGTAACGTTGCTTTGTGGGACATTTCTCTTTATTAAGTTGAGTGAGAGACCTGTGCAGTTATCAGACTGTCTGACCGACACGCCCTCGCTCCGCGCCGTCGGCTTATCCGTTCACACTATTTTGGTAGTTTCAAAACATTTTTTTAATGTGGAAACCCTTACTGCCATTGCTCTCTCTCTCTCTCTCTCTCTGATGTATGCTAGCCTATATTACAGGGCTAAATAATATGTCCTGCCCAGTTCATTTCCTAGGCTATGCCACAAGTTAGTCTGTTTATGCTGCCAGGTTTCATCCCATTTCAGATGTAGTTCACTTTGTTCTTTCAGAATTTATATGCGCCGACCATGAGGTGTGGTACTTTCACATTAGTGGAATGGGGTTCAACTCCCTACAGTGTCCTTGCTAAAAGACAAATTATATGAAAACACAATAGTTATAAATCTACACATTTCACAACAAACCTAAATGTCCCTGACGTCCCACCTTCAAACACAGCCTCATTTGGCCATCCATGAAAAAGCTACTTAACCTCCCATTTTCTATATCAATACATACTTCCTACGGACACTGCACTAGTTAAACCAACACATCTTAAAGGATCAAAGAAACACCTAGCTTAGCAAAAAGACTGAAAGCGGGTAGAACCAGCTAGCTTAGCATAAAGACTGGAAGCAGGTGGAAACAGCTAGCCTGGCTGTGTTCTATCTGGTTTATTTCTTCAGTGCAGCAACAACACTTCCTGTTTTATGGTCCTGACTTATTCCTGCTGAGTAAGTTAATTTATTATTTAGTTATTAATGAATTAATGAATTAATAACTTAATGAATTAATTCATTCATCAGAAACTTTCGTTTTGTCCACTTTGTGTAAAACTGTCTCCGGGTTCATCGCAGCAGCAGAGACACAAACAGACACATCAGGTATTATAATTTCAGCTTCCTGTACGTTCTGATTGGCTCTGACTCACCTGTAGCGCCGCCCTGAGGCTTGCTGAGATTATACAGCTTCATTTTATAACATATATTATTAATATATATATATATAATATTCTCTGAGTTCATCAATAATATTACTGATTAATAGTTAATAATGAAGGGAATGTTTGAATTGACCTCTGTTATAAATACTGAATGTATCACACAATCTCCACTATTTGGGCTTTTAATTTGAAGATTCACTCACCAGCGTATTTAAACTGAAGCCTTGTTCCATCCTGTGTGTGTGTGTGTGTGTGTGTGTGTGTGTGTGTGTGTGTGTGTGTGTGTGTGTGTCACAGGCTCTCGTCGGCCCACGGTCGGCTCGTCCATCTGCCACCTCCCATGATGCTTCACTGCGGGGAGACAGAAACTTTCCTTTAGTGTGTGTGTGGAGCAGCAGCTAGCACGCCGGCTGAAAGCTCGTCCTTCAGTTTGGTTACTGTGGCAACCGGTAACTAGCCATCCAGTGAGTCATCTGCTTTAACAACAGAGAGAAGAAGAAGAAGAAGAAAAGAGACAAAGAGAAGACGACCTCCCACTCCTCGCCGCGTTTCAACGACCGTCATCAACGCCGTCTGCCGCAACCGGCCCAGAGGAGGTCGCCATGGCAACGGCTGCATCAGGCCAGAGAGGACATTGATCATCTGAGACTGTCGGTCCTCCTCTGGGCCAGAAGGAGGCGCTGGTTTCATCTCAAAAACACCAGAAGAAGAAGCTGAGCTAGCATTAGCTGCTAACTACAATCATTAATCACATTAATCGATTATGAAACATTTTATTTTGTCTGACCAGAGAGAAAGTATTGATCGATCAGTTAATTATCTCTCACAGTGAGGATCAATAACTGCTATAGATTATATATTATATTTAATAATTTGTTATTACTGTTATATTGACAACAGACTACTTGTTTTAACTGTAGTTACTTTACTACTGTTTTAATGACATTTGTAGTTGACACAAACTGATTGATTGATTGATTGTAATTAATTACTTATTGACTGAGATTGATTGATTGTGACTGTGATTGTAATTGAGTCAATCATAGTTACAGTATTACCAACAGTATAGATTATAATTCATTTATTGTAAATATTGTTTGCCTTTATTGTTATTATTATTATTTTAATTCCAAACACTTGCGTTGGCAATATGTACAGTGTTACATCATACCAATAAAGCCATCTGAATTGAATAGAACTGAATTGTTGGATCAGAAACTCAGGTGTAATTTCAGGTGCGTTCACTTCCTGTCTCAAACTTCCTGCTCGGCCACATTCTCTATCTCTCTGTCTCTTTCTCTGTCTCAATTCAATTCAATTCAAATGGCTTTATTGTCAATCAATCAATCAATCAATCAATCAATCAGTTTGTGTCAACTACAAATGTCATTAAAACAGTAGTAAAGTAACTACAGTTAAAACAAGTAGTCTGTTGTCAATATAACAGTAATAACAAAGAAGAAGAAAAAGAAAGTTAGAAAATGAAAATAAATAAATAAAATAGTAAGCGTGTGTGTGTGTGTGTGTGTGTGTGTGTGTATATATATATAAATATACAGTCATGGAAAAAATTATTAGACCACCCATGTTTTCTTCAATTTCTTGTTCATTTGAATGCCTGCTACCACTAAAGGTAGATTACCTGAAGAGTGAAATGAACACGTGCAGCTGATTCCATAAAACTTTATGTCCTGTTTCAGATGCTTAAGCTTAATTGTATTCGCAGGGTATATAAGAGGCCATTTCATGTCATAAGCAGCACTGCACATGCAAAGGCCTAGAGTGGTTTCCTGCTTACATTCAAGCCGTAGCCCAACTCAGAAGTTATCAGCTCTCACATAATGCCTAAAAAAAGAATTATGTGAAGCCACAAAGGCAACCATCTTGGCACTGCTGGAAATTGGCATGAGTGAGAGACAGGTAGCAAAAAAAACTGAAGATCTCCAAGACAGCCGTTCACTACACAAAGGAAAAGCAAACCGAACATGGTAGCTTGTCGAGGCAGGAAACGTCTTTCTACCCCACGAGATGACCGCGCACTCATCCGTTCCTGTGTCAGGAATCGTCGTCAGACCTCC